TATATGCTACGTATCTTAAAGTAAATGCACTGAGGTTGACAGGGCTATTCATAAAACATATAGTCTCAAATGTACAATTTCTGGTTAATTCCTAACAATTCCCGATTTAGAGAATAACACTGTGATTGTTTTGGGAGCAGTATTTCTTTATATTACCTTCTGGTAGTTCAAGATATAGTCTTTTTATGGCCAAGAGTTATACTTATATAACTATAACAATCATTATTTTTTGCAATTTTTACTTTTCAGTCAAAAATGAAAATCACCTCAGTGTATTTTTTTAACCTTAATTTCAGTCAGTAATAGTAATAACAATTACTCAATTACTGTGATTGGATCAGGCTACCACTTCTGATGATGTCAGCAGACTGCTTGTTTTTATTAGGCAAAAAGCATGCAGGTCTGCAGCTTGTGGCTTGAATACACTAAAATTTTGCTATATTTATGGAGGCATGAGGGGCCCAGGAGGGCTAGATGGTGGTTTTAACAATACAGGGTCAGGAATACATGTCTGTGATCCTTTAAATGTGGAATTTCTGTAGATTGAGTAAGTAAATGTATCAGTTATGGGTTTTCCAACCAGATTCAATATTATTGTTACTGTACCATGTACATATAAGGGCAATTCAACGCAGTTGGCCTCTGAACAGAAATGCAACAGCAATTAGTAAAAAAATAAATAAATACTATTTAAAAAAATATATACTTCCAGTGTTTGCTTTTACAATCTATACCTAATACCATAATAGTTCCCAAGTACTTAAGAAAATACAATCCTTCTTCAATGATACCAATTTTAAGCCTAAAAATACATAAGCATTATACAATAGTGCCATCATATAAAAATTCAATATACAACCCATAACCCCAATCTAATTACAAAATGCTATCCCATAAAAGACCACTATACCTGGGTAATAAGTGTGGCAATACCATACAGATAATACTCTAGTGCAAATAAACACCCAATCATTAACAGTATATCATGTTAATGTGAGCCCAAAGACCACGTGCGTAAAGTGCAAAGTATAAGCATATAAACCATATACATAAAGTTCAAAAAGAGCACATATGGTAAGTCCAAAATGTGAACACATAATCATGTTCATAAAAGTGCAAAACACAATCACATTGACTATGTGCACAAGTGCAATGTGAGCACATAATTGTGCGCATAACAGTGCAAAATGCAATCACATCGACCGTATACATAAGTGCAATTATGAACACAAATGTGCAAATGTGGTGCAATGCCACATACATAAAGTGTAATTATATATAAAACATATATTAGTAATATTATTTTATCTTTACTGGAAATTTTCTTATGTAGAAGGAAAGAAAAAAATCATCAGATGATCCCTATTAAAGAATACATAATGAAAAAAACTAATACTTCAGTGTTAATTTAAAATGAATCACATCTTACCATCTTTGTTTTAGTTTG